ATTTAGTGATAAGGGGTCTAATTTGGGCAGCTTTTAGCTCCTTTGCTTTTGATATTGCTATCACACTTCTATTTGTTTATTATTTTCTTGCTACTTTTAAAAATTTTTGATATGAGAAGGTTTTTTTTATAAATAAACTCTAAATCACTTTAAATATCTAAAAACATATATTTGTAATGCTTGTGTGTTTTCTTAAATGTAACATATAAAGTAAAAATGATATTATTTTGATTATATATTAGCATTATAACTATAATAAAAAAATATTATATTATTAGAAATTTATCATAATGCATGATTGGGATATAATGATAGCAATCGTGGTTTGCAAGTTTTTTGGATTATCTTAATATATTTTAGTCTCGTTCACTCTAAATGTTGGTTAACTATATGCCTTTATTTCCAATGACTTCAACAAAATCTTTCATGAATTTAAGGTTATGACTGTAATTATATTTATTGTCTTAGGAACGAAGCACTTGAGTAAACTCTTTGTGAAAATTAATTCTTTATTATTGAAAAAATATAAGGTTATGATTGTATAAGGTTTTATCAAGCACTTCTTAGTGGAGTGATTATAAGATTATTGGGCAATATAAATAAGATAAGACAACATGGCTAAATGGTGTGAAATATAGCATATAAATTAACTCTAAAACTTTCTTGTTTCTAAAATAAACATCACACATGCATAATATTGAGAATTTTAGGGCAAAGAAAACAGGAATCGACTCAAATCCATATGAAAACACAGAAATTGAACGAAATTCGTCCTCGGGAGCAGAGCGGTGACTTTCTTTCAATTTCAGAAAAAAAGAGTACAGAATAACCCTAGGGTTACAAACAAAAATATATATATATAGCCCTGGAGTACAATATGTAATTACAAAACTCTGCTCCGTTGGCTTGTTCCGTTCCGCTTCAACATCTGTCTCTTATCTTGTATATGAGCCGTACCTAACACATATTTAAGGTCTTTTACTCTTCAATACTCGATTGATGAAACAACCTACTTGATCCATACATTTTCTCATAATACAATGTCACATGTCTAGCAAAACTCGAAATTAAATTCAAATAATTATTTCATGCATGTGCTAAATGATAAATTAAACAATAACTTAATATAATATCTCCTTAAGATGATTCTATTTACTTATTCTAAATTTATATTTAGGTGCTTCATAGTATATACATTTAATCTTGATATTTTCATATTTACAATACAACATACATTAATTAGTGAATAAATTATTTGTATTTATTCAAATTTTGCTTACATATCAAATTTTTTTTGCTATATTTTTTTCTTATATTCTTATTTATTCTTCAATACGTGGCTAACACTCTTCAAATAATGGCAATCCATAATAAAATAATTGTGTTGAAATATCAATTTGTTGATTTGTAGTGCTACAATAATCATTGAGGCATACATAATAAATCATAATTTATCTGATCAAATTCATTATTAAACGAATTTTAAAATATTTTATTTTCCAAAACAATTAGCTAATTTAATCAAATAATAGTTTTTTTTTGTATTTTTTTTTATTTATTCTTCCATTTGGTATATATGTGGGTTCAACCATCATAATGGGTGTCAATATATAGCCGAGTCTTTTTGACCAATTATTAAATATAAAACATATTTGACGATGTATTTTTATTTTTTTAGAAAAAAATTATATGTTTTATCAAACAATTAGATCCACGTGTATTCTAGTATTAAACTCTGTTACTCACGTCTTATACGAGGAGACCGACGACGGGCCGCAGATGTCAGGTGCGCGGCTTACGGCGATGGGCTGGGCCAGGCGCCGACGGGTAGCGAGAGGTGTCGGCCTATTGCTGGCATCGACAAACAGCTAGCGGCGGGGGTGAGGGCATTGGATATAAAAAAGACCTCATCTCATATAAAAATATTGGACAATTAAGTTTTTTCATCAAAATGGCATTTTATTATACATCTCTGATAATTTACTCCTGACATGTACACACTTTTATTGATTATTATTTAATCAATCTATCAATCATTTTATCATATGTTCAGTTGTGTTGACTCGGAAGTTATTATAGGCATTTTTAAATTCATTTTTCCAATAAATAATCAGCTATATCTTCAGATTAATTTATCCAAATCACAAATTATTTTTTATTGAAATAAATCAATGTACCTAAATCACCTTGATAATTTTTCTTATATTTAATTTTAAAAAAAATCCTTACATATATGATATTACATAAAAAATATATCGTCACTTTTATTTAAATATATATATATATATATATATATATATATATATTTCCTGACATATCCCGATGGTATTCGACAGTAGCAGAGACTAGCAGGCCCAAAAAATAACGAGAGGACGCAGTTCAATCACCCAGAGTCGCTCAATCCACCAACAGTCCCTCGACCTTCCGACAAGTCGACTAGCAGGCTACCCATAGTTAGCCAACCATCCACAATCAACATACTAGTCGACTAAAGCCGCCTCCACTAACTCATGAGCTCTCAACTCATAAACTTCGACGAACAAAAAATCAAAATGCCCTATTGTACCCTTTTAAGCAAGGGTGATGTTTATATTTTTACCTTGTGTATTTTCATTCATAAATAGAAAAACCATTAACCCTCCCATTCCATGAAATAAAAATAAAGAGTTCGAGAATACCCTATTTTGACCCTTAAGGTTAAGTCCCTCACTCCTGGTGCATGCACATTCTCTCTCTCTCCTCTCATTCCCACTCTATTTGTAAATATTTGTATATATATATATTAAAAATTGTGTTTGATAAGTAAAGAGTTAAGACTTAAAAGCCGAGTGCTATGTAACTAAAATGTTCCTTTCTTTTTTTATACATTCCATCAATGTCATCAACTTAAATCCATTTTTAAAACAGTGAAGATACGCTCCCCGCAGATAGATATTTTATGTAAAAAGCTCATAATCCACCTCATTTATTTCAAATAATATATATTTTTTGGAATATAATATTTTTATTAATTTGAGCCCATCATTTACAGATCCGTCCGTACCCAAATCATTGCTTGACAGAAAGTATCTACCCCAAAAAAAAAAAAAAAAAAAAAAAAAAAAAAAGGGATATCTAACGGTCAATATTTAAATTGATTTCAAGATTTGTGCAAAAATCAAAATTGAATTAATCCAATCATTGCCCTCCCTATTGCCTGCTAATACAGTCATACAGATCATCAAAAAGTCTCCAGAAGGTTATCTACTCTTGACCATTGAATATATTTATTATACCAACCAAAAACAGTCAAATAAAAACATATGAAAACAATTAGCTCATATAACCAATTTAATTTTCTTAATTATGATATATTTTGTCAAATTTAATTCTATGCTATTTACTTGTATCAAAATAATCTCGAGCCTATTTAAATTACGACTGAAATTTTCTCGAAAAATATTTTGACACTTATATAAATTAAAATTTAAAAATTTTCATATAAATAATTGGGGATTATCATGACAGTATTGTATTTAATATTAAATAATTATAATATATAAGAAAATATCATAGTTTTCTCAAAATAAATTTAATGATTTTTAGATATATTATAATTAAATTTGAGTATAATATTTTAATATTTTTCATTGAATTTATCTAATAAAACATTTAGGGAGAATATTCTCATCTAAATTTTATTTATAAATTTAATTAAGATATTATAATTTTAAAAAATCCAGCGTGGGACAAAAATATAACATTAATTTATTATTTATATATTATATTTATGTAAAAATGAATCTAATTTGATTAAATTTAGTCAAATATTTTTATTTTCTTATACTCCAAGTTAGAAAATAAGACAATATTGATCCTTCCTTTACTTATAAACGCTCGCCCTTTTGTCAATAGACCTTTTCTCACTCCTTTCCAAACTGGCTTTTTTGCTTTTCCCTCTTTCCTAATGCACGCCTAGTCTCATGATTAACCCACAAGCTTAAAAGAGAGGCGCCGCTTTTAATCTTCAATTAATTAATAAAAAAATTCTTCCTAATTTAAATTACTAAAAGTGAAAATAAATAATTAAAATTTATATACCTTTTTTAAAAAAAATTTTATATGTAATATATCTTGATATCAAAGTTAACTAAAATGTCAAAATAAATCCCAATCATTTATATCAATTAATTTATTTTATAGAACTTAACAAAATAAATATGAGCTAATTGTGTCAACACCTCTGGCTCTCTCTAGACTTCCTTCTACCTCATGAGAGAGATGAGACTCTATTTATAGCGTTCTGGGTGCAATTAATGCAGGAATATGAATTATTTTGATCAGACGGTCCGGAAAACTTCCCTCGATCATACGTAATTTAGTGGACATTTGAGTGCCTTAATGATGTCAGAATTGAGTGATCTTGAACTCATTGGATTCGTCTTGTCGAACTGTTTGATTTAAGTATAAACTTGACATATTTGACAGTTGTTTGACCTTCCAAATAAATTCATAAATCTTCTAACTGTGATTTAATGATTTGATCTGGTCTTGATTTGATTTGTATTGGGCTAGTTTTCATATTATTATGTCCGTCTCATTGAACATGTCAGTTTGACTATAAGTTCGCTAAAATTGGAACTCTGTGCTTTTTATCAAGATTTGAAAGTTTCTTGCTTAAAATATCATCTCGAGATTCGTGTTGATTAATGAAAATTTATTGGTAGAGTATCAAATATATTTTAAAATATTATAAGCATAATATTGCTATTAAAACTTTTAAAATTTTAATATACTCGAGAATTATTTTATAAATTTAAAATAATGTAAATGATTTTTTTTTTTCTTGCAGAGTAAAAAACAGGCAACAATTTTATAAGATTTGAAGGTAAGAATTAATGTCTTAAATCACTCGTCATTCCAAGAAAATGATTCTGTCAATTTAAAATTTACAAAGTATTATATACATTTAAGAATAATAAATTATTTACATAAAAGGATAAATAAAAGCAAAACTCGGAGCTGAGTTTTACAGCACCAAGACAACTTCTGCCTCTCTGTCGGCTCTGTCGAGAGCCAGGAGCCGATAGCGTTGAACTTTCACCGGCCTATTCAGCTCACCGCGCAGAGATGGCTCTCCACTCGTTTCTCATCGTCTTCCTCCTTTTCTCCCTACTCGGCGGCGCAGCACCGGATATTAACTCCGACCGTGCTGCCTTGCTCGCCTTCCGCGACTCCCTCGGTCGAGCCGTGCTCCCGTGGAACGCGACGAACTCCCCCTGCACATGGCAGGGCGTCCGATGCTTACAGAACCGAGTTGTTATCCTTCGTCTCCCCGCCGTCGGTCTCACGGG